CGGGCGTCCAGGTGCCGGGCCCCCTCCAGGCCCCCCGGCCGCCCATCCCCGCCTGGCATGGTCAGGCCTGGCTAGGGCGGTGAGGGCCTTGCCAGGGAGCACCTTCCACTGTGCGGTTCCTGTGGCCATCCTGGGCTGTCGGTGGCTCCCAGGCATCCTGGCGGGCCACCGTTAACGGTGCTGGCAGGTTTGCCACCCTCACAGCTGTCCAGGGGGGAGGGGCCACTGGAGCAACTAGCTGCAGGGGTTACAAGTAGAAATGCTCAAAGCGGGACTCAGAAAGGCCAGGCACTGCTCGGGCTGGTGGCACTGGGCTGCCCCAGGTCCAAGGAGAGGGAGGAACCAGGACCCGTCGCCACCAACCTGTGTGCCCCCGTCAGTGCCAGTTTCTTCCAAGCACATCGTCCAAGAACCAAGGAGAGAATTTCACTGCGCCTGCTGGAGACATTTTTGCACACCTCAGCCTCCTGGGGATGCCCTTTCCATCCCACAGTTCTGGCCCTGTCGTTCTCTGCTCGGAAGCTGACACATAAAAGCTGTGCTCTGCACTGGCTGCCGTGGAATCGCAGGTCCTGGAGCTCGGGGTTGGCACCCTCGAGCCTCAGGCCCAAGTGTGGCTGTGTTCACGCCAACCAAGACCTGAGTAGGACAGTCACCTGTTTAAAGGGCTGGGGAACTCACAAGAACACATGACCTGCAACCATGACCTGAAACCAGATGTCACCTCCATGAGTCCATCTCACGCACAACCATGCCCATGTGTGGATGGAGCTTCTGGTCCACTCTCCCCCAGTGTCAGAGCTGTTTGCTTGGAGACACTTGGCTGGAAAAGCCAGAAGTATTTGCTCTCCACCCAGAGGAAGCCTGCTACCCTGGGCTGGAGATCCCAGGGGCAGGTGGGCATGATCCTTTCTGCCAGCCCTGGCTCGGACTCAGTGGAGGCTGTCTGCAGCATGGCTACCTCCTCCCCGCCCCCAGAGCCTCTGCCATCAGGGGGACTGCCAGGCAGGTGGGCTGGCCTCCAGAGTCCCAGCGGACTGCCAGGGGCCGTCTCCCCCTCCCCTGTCCACAGAGCACCCTGAACGCCCAGACAGCAAGAAGCCCAGCCCTTGGACCCATGTCTGCCCCACAGGTCGAGGGTCTGAGGGTCCTCCTGGCTGTGACACCCCTGAGAAGCTACGCCCCCAGCAGAAAGTTGACCTGGATTTACAGCCTCTGCGGCCACTACGGTGTTTACTTTCATGGGGTTTCCTTTCCCAGCCACTCTGTGGGCATCGACCCATTCCCCATATGCAGCCTTGAACTCCTGGGCTCAGGTGATCCTCCCACCTCAGCCTTCTGCGTAGCTGGGACTATAGGCGTGCACCACCATGCCTGGCTAATGTTTTGTATTTTGTTGAGATGGGGTATGTGTTGCCTAGGCTGGTCTTCAACGCCTGGCCTCAAGCAGGCCTCCTGCCTTGGCCTCCCAAAGTGCTGGGATTATAGGCATGAGCCACCATGCCTGGTACAACTTTTTTTTAAACCATGAACTCTTTTTTTTTTTTCCCCGAGTTGGAGTCTCACTCTGTCGCCCAGACTGGAGTATAGTGGCACGCTCCGCTCCCGGCCACCACAGCCTCGACCTGCTGGGCTCCGGTGATCCTTCTGCCTCAGCCTTCCAAGTAGCTGGAATTACAGGCGTGCGCTACCACGCCCGGCTAATTTTTTTGATTTATTGTAGAGATGAGGTCTCACCGATTTGCCCAGGCAGGTCTCGAACCCACGGTTCAGGCAATCCACTCACCTCAGCCTCCCAAAGGCGCGGATTACAGACTGAGCCACCAAGCCCAGCTCCATGAACTCTTTATAGTCAGAGCCCTCGGGAGTAGGAGGGGTGGTGGTGGCCACCCCAAAGTTCCTCCTGGGCAGATCCCCTGCAGTCCCGCAGTGCGAAAGGGTTCTGTGGTGGTTAGTGGTGACTTGGTGGGTTGATTTTTAGAATGGGAATTAGAAACCAGAAAAAACCTGAAGATCCCTGACCTGTCCTCCTTCCTGCCCTGCTGGAGGAGCAGGGTTTCAAGGCAGTGTTGGATCTGGGGAGAGGGGAGTGTGGAAGGTTCCAGAGCAACATTCCTGGCTGAATGTTGCTGAGTGTGTGCCGTGTGCTCAGGAGGGTCGGCCGCTGGCTGGCAGAAGACAGGAGCCAGCAGAGCCTGAGGCTGGGGTGGGCACTCTGGGGTTATTTCCCAAGGCCCCTTCCCAACTCAGGCATCCCCTCGATGCCACCTGCCATCACGTGCTGACTCGGGGCCTCCAGTCCTTGGCGGGTCGGAGCCGCTGAGTGACTTGGCCTTGGCCCCACGGTAGGAGGCCCTGCGTGCCCTGACCTCCCTCTGCCTCCTTGCCCCGGGGAGGGTGAGCCCACAGGCCTCCGGTAGACAACCCCCTCGTGCCTCGCGAGGTCCTTTGGTGAGTGGCTCGGCCTGGTGGGGGCAGCTGGAGGGCCCAGAGGTGCCCCTCCATGTCTCAAGCAGAGCCCAGGGCCAGGCTTTGCCGTGGGTCTATAGCAGGGAGATCAGCGGGGGGCGCCCCTTCAACCGGGAACTGAGACGTGCCCACGCAGCGTCCTCTCTGAACTTACGAGCGACCCGCAGTGGGTGGTGCCAGCAGACAAGGGGTCTCTCCTCCAGGGCTGTGGCGGTAGCGTCCCCAAGCCGCCCACCAGGTGGAGAGTCGACTGTGTGTGAAACAGAGCGTGAGAGATTGAGAGCTTCTCAGGCGGCAGGGAGCCGCTCTCGGCTGGTCTTCTGCCAGCTGTCTGTGCAGCCTCCCCTGCGCAGCCTCCCTGCACAGTCTCCCCGGGGAGATCTCCGCGCTTTCGGGAGGCACCGCCTGGGAGGGCACCTGGGGCCTGA